GTTTCACTCAGTGGCTGAGTTACAATGAATATTTTACTAAAACTCCCAGATCACAACCTTTCGACAGTAAAAAAAATATATTATTCGATAAGAATAAGTCAAAATATAACTTGAATGGTGCAAACCTTTTGAGGAATATGTTGTTTTCTATGGAATCGACAGTCTAAGGTACAGAGAACCACTACGACTTTTGTTACAACTATATTTAGTCGAAAATGATGACAGTAATAAGCGCAGTTACGATTAGATAGGATGATATCTGTTAAGGAGGTTTGAAGAGAGTTTATAATGTGGAAGTATTGCTAGACAAGCAGTGGATAAAAAGAGATGGGATTTTACAAGCAATATGTAAGAGTCAAGAAGATAAGAGCAATGAATTATGTGCCTAGAGAGTATTTCTACATTACAAGATAGTTGTCTATTGATTAATTAATGATTAGGGCGTATTTAAAACTTTTATGTGATGTGCAGTCAAAACAGCTGGACAATTTTCAATAAATCATAATATATCCACCAAGACCATCACTACAAATCGCACCATGTAGAGAAAGACATGAATTGAATTTTGTAAGCCTCAGCTGAATGTCCTGTATAGACACTAAAATTTGTCTGAATTGATTATACAAAATATGGTGAATAGAAAACATACCTAACATTAGATTATATATCTATTACTCTAAATAGCCTCCATGGCAATAAAATGGAAGTTACAAATTACAACCTAAACGATTCGCATCAAAATTATGCTATACACCTCTCTTATTATTATTACGGACAACTGAAATACATGAGTCACGTAGTACTGTTAGTGCTTAGTAAGATTTCTCCTATTCTGAAATTGACTTTCAAAAAATTCCTACACCTCACAAATCAGATGAATGATATATTTCATCAGATAACCTCTATACTTGGAGAACAAATGAGATTTACAATGAATTCTGGCTTTGAATGTTTGTTCATGATAATTCGGCTATACTTTGTACTCCCTATTTTAAAACGATTAATAAATGTATGGATATACCAAGCGCATTTGAAAACGGAAATCTCTCCAGAAATTTATGGATTTACTACCGTGCAGTTATCAAGCTTTTGCTTAACAGATATACTGAGGAAATGTACATTATACCAATGCCTCACAATTAAAACGGGATTAAAACACATGAGTGCAACTTCATACAGTAGACATATCATAATACTCACTCACTACACAATATCTGAAATTAGAATACGCGTATTAAGCATCTCATACATTATTGAACGCCTCTGCTTCCTAATATCAAGTATACTTGAGATCATACGAATAGTATGTAAACTTATTATTATTATATCTGAAACGTTGTGGTACTTAGCTTTTATCATGAAAAATATTGGCCAGTATTTATATATATTTAATGCAATTCTAATTACATTCAATAAAATAATAATCAGACTACCTAGTAAACCAGTTAGCGAAAAAATATACTGGTCGCGACTTTAAAGTACCTACATTCAGGCAATAAAGAGTGACACTTTAAAAAACTACGGGATGAAAATATAGAAGTATAGATGAAGCAATTACAATAAATCCTTCTTTTTCTCCACCTCGTTTACTCCCTTGTTATCATTTCGGTAAGGATAGCTGTAACCTGGACCGCTGTGAGGTAATGTTAAACCTTAAGTTAACAGTGTTACTTGGATATACATTTAGTAGTGGATAGTGATGGGATCCAGTACTCATGTTCCATGAAAACTGTTTGCTTGAGGCATGTAGGGAGGTGTAGCCTAACTAGGGTCGTCCAGACGTTACAAGCCAATGGCTGCAGACTGTTGGTGTTATGCCTCAATATCATTCTCAGTGACGTAGATGTAATCACCCTTTGCAATCTCTTAGATCCGTCACATCCCCATTGTACGGCATGTAATTATTTTTTCTCACAAAGGTTTCCATATATTATAGCATTTTGTTTTTCCTGCCTTTCTGTAAAGTTTTATAAAATGTAGGAATTTAAACTACTACACTTTTGTGCAGAGTTTTACGCTGCAAATTCGCTTTCATGTTTTTATTTCAGTAGGTTTACACCCACTATTGAGAAAAAATGCTATTCTGCGTTTGAAGGCACCGAATTTCATTGGCAACTCAATGACAAGATAAAACCAAAGTCTTGAATTACACCACTAATGCCGCCGAATTGACAACGGTGATCGTCTTCTGTAGTTCTGTTCAGGTAATCATCTGTTTCTAGTCAGCACTAACTTTAGGCGCAAAGACAGACACTGTGTAACCTGGTCACCTCCATCACCAAATCAACGTTGGACTCAGATAGACCACATAGCGATGGGGTATCTTTCACAAGGGTCAGTAGAAGACTCTTGCCGTTTTTGGAACACATGCATAGACTTCGACTACGCTCTGGTCCGCACACGTTTAGGCTTACGACTAAACGGACATAAAAAACTGCTGGCAGCGAAACAGTTACATTCCCAACTAGATCGAGACTCTGAGTACTTTTATGAGGAAGAAGTAGTGAAACGAGTACCTAATATCAACCGCAGGACTCCTCCTGAAGTATCATTGATATAAGAATAAAACTTGTGCACTGTGGTATAATTATCCTCCTGAAGTAACCTGGCACGGCACACAGTTAGCAGTAGACACAGTTGTAAAAGTTGTTAAGAACCAAAAGTTAGCAAGAGCCATTGGATCTCTACCACCTCATCCGAACTGATTGACGTAAGAAGACTGATTCCGGCGACCTCCGATTATGATGAGGAGCGAAAGCTACTCAAACGAAAACTGACAAGAAGTCTTCTCAACGACCGTGAACAATGGTGGGTAACAAAAGAGAAAGAGATGGAAAAGGCATCGGCTATTGGAAACACCAGACAACTATTTAGGCTTATCACGAAAACAGGTGGTAATAGGCAAATGATAAGTGAAACAATCTCTGAGAAAAATGGCACTATAACTAGCTCCCAGTGCAGACGACTGGAACGCTAGAAAGAACCCTTTAAGGAGCAATTTAATTGGCCTACAACCACACTCAACTTACCGAACATCCAACGCCTCCCTGAATGGGATATAGACACAGGTCCGCCGTCCCTAAGTGAGGTTACTAGAGTTGTCACTAGTCTGAAAGGAGACAAAGCAGCGGGACCTGATGGAATGACTCCAGTACGATGGAGACAGTTTACTGTCTGCGTTAACCCAGGTACTATGCAAAGTCTGGGAATCAGAAGAAGTCCCGTCGAGTTAGTGTAAGTCACTGATTATCAAGAAGGGAGACAAGTCTTCCTTTGATAATCATAGGGGGATTATGTTGACTAATATAGTATCTAAAGTCCTAGGCTTAATAATATTGCGTAGACTAAGTGGTGTTCGGCAGGCACAAACACGAGAGAGCCAGGCAGTCTTCAGACCAGGAAGAGGGTGTATTGATAATATCTTCACCCTTCGACAGATTCTAGAACATAGGCATTCCAACCGGCCTCCAACAATCGTCATTATTTCTTAACCTGTTAGCGACATTCGAGTCTGTCGGCCGAGAGGTACTCTGGTGATGCTTGGCCGTGAAAGGAATGCCGAGAAAATACGTTGCACTGATCAAGGCACTCACTCTACTCGAACTCATGCAGCCAGGTGGATTACGGCGAGTTGTCGTCTGAAGTGGTGACAACTAACGGTGTCCTTCAGGGGTGCCCACTATCCTCATTTCTACTCAATTTCATTATAGATGGACTAATGGACTTAACCCTAACTCACTTCAGAGGCTCAGGGATTGACGTACTACCAGGGAATAATCTCGTTGACTTAGAATATGCAGATGATATCTTCCTTCTAAGTGAAGACGGTGACAGAACGTAGAGTCCTCTGAACACCTTGAGTTGCAATCTACGAATGTTCTGCATGCGATTTGCTCCCGCCAAATGTGAGATGATGTTACAGGACTGGACTACACCGACTCCTAGTTTAGAAATAGGAAGCGAAGTGGTAGAGCACGTTGACTGCTTTACTTATTTGAGAAGTATCATCAGATCTCTGACTAAATTTAAGCACGGATACAGAAGGCTCGTTTCGCATATGGCAGTTTACGCCGTCTCTTGCGTAGACGTGATATCCGACCATCGACCAAAGGTCTCATCAGTCCGATTCGTCCTCCTTTATGGCTGTGAGACCTGGCCATTGAGAGTGGAAGACATGAGAAGATTAGCTGTCTTAAATCATAGGTGCCTGTGAAGTGGTATAATAAGGTGAGCAATATTGAAGTCAGGCGTCGATTTTTTAGGTAAGGAGGGGAAATCAACTGACAAGGCTGTGAAGTTACATCGATTGAAATGGTTAGAACACGTGTTACGCATGCCTAGTTATCGCCTTCCTCGACGGGCAATGTTAGCTGACATAGGGTCAGGTTGAAAAAGAGTAAGCGGTGGTCAAACCAAAACATGGCACCAGTCAATGGGACCCACAACAGTTAGTTTAAGCCGGATACGCAAGGAGATGTAGACTTCCTGGATGGAGTCCTCCGGACGGTAAAAACCAATGGCTGGAGACAATCAGTGGTCTCAAAATCATTCTCAATGGCGCAGATGCATCCACTCCCTGTGAATTATAGTTCCCAATGAAACTATATTGTTCTTCGTTACTACTATTCCTTTTGCCTTATATCCCTATCTACTGTCTCTATTTTGCATTTCTTCTCCTGCTTATTGTGCTACATGGAGTGTGCCGATTTTAACTGCTGCACATCGGTGCAAAAGTTCTGTGTTGAAACCAGGCAGACATATAGCCGAAATCTAGCGACAGACAGTATAAAGGCACTCATGGAATGACTCTGTGTACCTACAGTAACTAGCTAACTTAATTACGTAAATCGAAAATCCAAACAACAGTAATATTCATCATGAAATTGTATTTCAAACAGATACGAAACAGAACAGGATATCAAATCCTCAGATACTTGCAAACAAAAAGTCCAAACACATTGCATGTTTTTCTATTTTATGTATTTGTACAGCCTGTTTTATTAGTTGGTCATGTTGAAATAGTCTTCGTAATTAACCAGCTGGAACCAATGCCCACAATAACACTGAACTGGATCACCTTTGTCTAATTCTAACCAATTGATAGAATTGGCCTCAGGTTCACCTGAGTAACAGGATAAGAAAGAACATATGCTTAGTAATTTTTTAAAATAATTCAGCAAGTAAAGATATTTACAGAAAAGTGGTGCAAATCCCTTCAACAAAGATATTTTGTTCATGAGATGAGAAATCCACTCAAAACCACTTCAAAATATGATAAGTTGCACTATTGTAAATCACCGGACGTAATGGACAGAAGCGCTAAACCAAATTTATGCACTTTAGTAAGTCACCAAGTCAATCAAAGTTACTGTACGACAGAAACAATGCCATCAGTGATCCAAACCATAGGACTGACTGGATATTCTTGGCAGCTAAACAATATCCAGCTGGCGTAAGTAGTGATACTGAGGAAGAATATCAGTAGTGTCCTTAAGGTTTATGAGTAAGACTTTTATTCGAAAAGGACAATCATCTTTGAATTTGCTATTGCTACATGACTAGTCTTATCACGCCGGAAGGACTGAGCTGTTTTAAAATGTATGAGCATGTAGCGGTAAATAATTCCCCAAAATTATTGACCACAGCAATCACTCATTGGATGCTGACCACCACTGTTTAAGTCGACTTGTTTAGCTGAAGGCTTCCGGTCAAGCATCCCCGCCATTTGGTACCCCGTCGTGTCACGTGCACGATCACTAGCTAGCTAAGCGTTCGTCTGACGGCTTGTTTTGGTCCCAGAATATATTACGAAGTTTGGACGATCAATATTGGCTTTTGCTTTGTCTTTGGTACGCGAGAATAATTTAGAGGCTGTGTAAGATAATTCCGTCAACCTTAAACTGGTGAGCCCAACCGCGAACTTCATCCACGATAAATCCGCAGATAACCCCGGTGAGTTCGTTCCATTTTGTATTTGTTCTTGTACCATATATTATTCGACATAATTTTCGTCATGAGTGATCTTAGTCCCAAGGTCATCGTATCCGCTCAACTCCTAAAACCATTCAGCTCGTACCATACTGGCCAGATAATGCTGAAACGTGGTTTCTGCTAGCTGAAGCAGATTTTTGTGAGCATGGGATAACCGATCAACGTTCACAGTTACTTGCAGTTATTCACGCCCTACCGCGGGAATTCAGCAAGTACGTAACATCACAGATGTTGAGTCCCGAGGTAAGTAACTCGTACGAGTTGCTCAAAGCATCCCTCCTCAGGAGAAACGTTCTCACGGACCGACAACGTCTAGATGAATTATTTCGTAACATCGAGTTAGGAGATCAGTCAGCCGTGAGCATGCTGACAAGAATGAAAGAAGTCGGCCAAAGTCAGTTCGACGAAGGACTGTTTAGAGAACTCTTCTTATCCAAGTTGCCACAGTCTGTACAGACCGTACTTGTGACACTTCAGGGTACTGTAATAGAGGACTTAGCTATTACTGCAGATAGGATTCTAGAAATAACTAAACGGTCTGTTCCCGAAATATGCTCGATGACTAAGCAGACTTCGAGTAAGGATCCTGCAATGATAGAGTTATGCAACTCCATCCAGCAGATGTTTAGGTCGAACATGCATTCTAACTCCTCCGACCGTCGTCCTAAATCTCCTCAACGCAGGAACTCACGTGGTCGATCTAAGTCCAAACCACGTTCACTGAAAAACCCTGACTGGTGCTGGTACCACAACACCTATGGCCAAGAAGCGAAGTGTTGCCGTAAGCCTTGTAACTTCGGAAATGTCTCAAAGTCTGTGGGAAACTATCCCGCCGGCACGCGTTAGCGGCAACCGTCGCCGGTGGCACTAGCCGCCTTCTTTACATCCATGATGTGATAAGCCAGACTCGATACTTAGTCGACACAGGCGCCGAAGTCAGCGTCCTTCCTGCTACAGCAGCAGATCGACAGAAGGAACCTACCTTCAACTTACAGGCTGCAAATGGAAAACCAATCGCAACCTTTGGTAGGAAATACGTCTATCTGAACGTAGGTTTACGCAAACCTATTCGGTGGATTTTCCTTCTCGCTGACGTTACAATGCCCATCATTGGCACGGACCTACTTAATCATCATGATTTACTCGTAGACGTCCGCCGAAAACGACTGATTGACAATACTACTAGTCTGTCTATCAAAGGCATCAGCTACATAGGCCCTAGTTTGTCACCCGTTAAGATAAAGGCAATCTTGATCCAACTTTTCAACCTATGTTGACAAGTATCCGGAACTTAATTGCCCGTCGAACGACCTACCGTGCATAACCAGCAATGTTATGCACCACATCATTACCACAGGACAACCTGTGACATCTAAAGCACGACGATTAGCTCCTGACAAACTGAGAATCGCCAGGAATGAATTTGACCATATGCTTACCCTTGGCATCATTCGACCTTCGAATAGCCCATGGGCATCCCCACTTCATATGGTTCCGAAAAAGGATAGCAATGATTGGCGACCCACCGGTGATTACCGGCGAGTGAATGCCAAAACAACCCCTGATTGCTACCCGTTGCCTCATATACACGACTTGACGGCAACCTTATCCGGCGCGACTATATTCTCCAAAATCGACTTGGTTAAAGCGTATAACCAAATCCCGATGGCAACAGAAGATATCCCGAAAACGGCTATCATTACGCCTTTCGGACTTTTTGAATTTCTACGTATGCCATTCGGTCTCCGGAATGCAGCCCAAACATTCCAACGCTTCATTGACGAAGTATTTCGCGGTCTCGACTTTGTATACGCATACTTAGACGACTGCCTCATTGCCAGTCCAGACAAGGAAACTCACCTTAGGCACTTGGACTTGGCATTTGAAAGGTTACGCCAACATGGTGTTACCATTAATATTCAAAAGTGTCAAATCGGTGTTGACTCACTCGACTTCCTGGGTCACACTATTGACTGCAAGGGCATTCGCCCACTGGCTACTAAGGTCGAGGCTATACTGAACTTTCCAGAGCCACAGACGGTGAAAAGTCTCCGCACTTTTAACGGCTTAGTAAGTTATTATCGACGCTTTATTCCCAACTGTGCCTCTTTGATTCAGCCATTGACAGACCTCCTTCGAGGGAATAACAAGTCCATAGAACTTGACGCGTCTGCTCGAAATGCTTTTACCCAGATTAAAAAAGCTATTGCGAATGCCACACTTCTGATGTATCAGGATCCAACGGCACCGTTAAGTATCTCGGTTGATGCATCAAACACTGCAATCGGCGCAGTTCTACAACAGCTAGTTGACAATGAGTGGCAACCACTCGCCTTTTTCTCCAGGCGCCTTCAATTAGCTGAAACGAAGTACAGCACATTCGGCAGAGAACTTCTGGCTATGTACTGTGCTATACGACATTTTAGACATTCGGTAGAGGGTCGTGAATTCATAATTTTTACTGATCACAAACCTCTGAACTCATCTTCAGATAAGTATTCACCCAGGGAATCACGACAACTGGATTACGTCTCACAGTTTACATCAGATATTCGCCATGTATCCGGAGTAAACAACACTGTGGCAGATGCCTTGTCGCGCGTTTGTTCCCTCACCCAAATCGACGGCATAGACCTTGTAAAACTGGCTCGTCTTCAAAAAGAAGATACCGAGCTTCAACATGAGTTGTCGAAAACAACTCTACAATTAGCTGAGAAACCCTTAGGTATGGGAAGAGATACTATTCTATGTGACATTTCCACGAGTACTCCTCGCCCCATCGTGCCTAAAAGTTATCGCCGTAACGTCTTCAATACGTTGCATGGCTTATCTCACCCAGGTATTCGAACTACTGTCAAGCTCGTAACTAGTCGGTTTTGTTGGCCTGGTATTTAAAGTGGCATAATAAGGTGAGCAACATTGAGGTTAGGCGTAGAGTTCTAGGTAAACAGGGGAAATCAATCGACGAAGTCGTGAAGCTACGAAGACTGAGATGGTTAGGACATGTGTTACGTATGCCAAGTCATCGCCTCCCGCGACGAGCAATGTTAGCGGATATGGGGTCAGGCTGGAAAAAAGCTAGCGACGGTCAAACAAAAACTTGGCACCAGTCAATGAAATCCACAACAGTTGGTCTAAGCCACGTAGGAAGGTGTAGACTTCCAGGCTGGGGTCCTCGGGACGGTAAAAACAAATGGTTGGAAACAATTGGTGACATGGCTCAAAATCGTTCTCAGTGGCGCAGATGCATCCACTCCTTGTGACTTATGATCTCCAATGAAACTTTTGTTTTTCTTTATTACTCCTTTGTCTCACATCTCTGCTCACTGTTTCTGTTATGCTTTTCTTATACTTTCTTCTCTTGCTTCGCGTGCTACACGGAGTGTGGCGACTTGAACTACCGCACATTTGTGCAAAGTTCTATGTCGAAAACAGACAGACAGACAGACAGTTGGCCTGGTATTAATAAAGAAATAAGGGAATGGGCACACGTGCTTAGCTTGTCAAAAGTGCAAGGTGATAAGACACACCAAAAGCCCACTTGGCACCTTTCTTCTCCCTGACGCTCGTTTCGAACACGTCCATATAGATTTGGTTGGACCCCTTCCTGAATCCCATGGATATACCTATATTTTAACTTCTATCGATCGATTCACACGATGGCCGGAAGCAGTACCCATCAAGGACGTATCTGCTGAAACAGTCGCACGCGTCTTCGTAGAAAGGTGGATCGCTAATTTTGGATGCCCATCTTCCATAACAACTGATCGCGGGCGGCAATTCGGAAGTGGCTTATCCTTCGCCCTGACTAAAATCATAGGTTGCATGCGATTTCGAACAACAGCCTACCATCCTCAAGCTAATGGTATGGTAGAACGTCTACACAGACAGCTGAAAGCTGGTCTTTCAGCCGCAAACACCACCCATTGGACTGAATCCCTTCCGTTAGTTCTCCTAGGGATACGAAACGCCTTGAAAACCGATGCTGGTTGTACTAGCGCCGAGCTAGTATATGGCACGACACTAAGACTGCCTGGTGAATTTGTTTCTCCCTCGAGCTTCCCACCAGTGGTAGATCACGCTTCATACGCCAGCAGGCTTACACACGCAATGCGTTCAGTTAAACCTGCTCCCCTTCGTCCACAGTCCATTGATGTTTTCGTTCATCCGTGTTTGAAAACTCCTTCACATGTACTTGTTCGTCGCGACTCTGTGTGCAGACCCTGCAACCCCCATACGACGGACCCTATAAAGTAATCAAATGTTCTGATAAATTCTTTGTCTTGGACAAAAACGGCCGCGAGGACACCGTCAGCAATGACCGTCTGAAACCGGCTTACATGGAGGGTAATCCTATGAGCATAGAGCTCAACATACCCCATAATCCAGGAGTAACCGAAGATCGTTTAGACCTCGATGAAGTCACTAGCACAGCGACAGCTACTGAATCCTCTGTCGAGCCTCCTAAGAAAACCCGTTCTGGACGTACCGTAAGGTTCCCAGAATATCTGCACACCTGTTTGACATAACGAAGTCGTGTGATTCACGCAACTCATTCGTTTGTGGTACTGACTATTTTTTTTGACGTATCAATTTTTTTTATATACAGTACCACCGAACACAAAATTTTTTTTTCTCAACAGTTCATGTAACATACGCAAAAAAAAATTAATTAGATGTATTTTTTTTCGATGTTCTGAACTTAGCATTATTTTACTGTATAGTAAATGCAAATAATTTTTCTTTAACCAAAAAGCTCATTTCGTACATTTTCTTCGACATGGTTCTTAGCGTTCTTGTTTTCTTTTCCAGGTGCGACGGGCACTGGACAGGAAACAAACGAAGCACGGAATCCAACGAACAACAACAAGGAAGCTATGCACAAACACCCTATTAGCATAGGCAGACAAACCAGTAGGCATACGACCAAGCCACTGGGAAGATTTTTTTCACCCAAAAGGGAACTATCGAGTTTTTTTACTTCCGGCTGGTTCTGCCTTAGGGTCCTCACGACCCCACTAGGGGGGGAGTGAGCAGTAGCGGTAAATAATTCCCCAAAATTATTGACCACAGCAATCACTCATTGGATGCTGACCACCACTGTTTGAGTCGACTTGTTTAGCTGAAGGCTTCCGGTCAAGCATCCCCGCCATTTGGTACCCCGTTGTGTCACGTGCACGATCACTAGCCAGCTAAGCGTTCGTCTGACGGCTTGTTTTGGTCCCTAAATATATCACGTAGTTTGGACGATCAAATATTGGCTTTTGCTTTGTCTTTGGTACGCTAGAATAATTTAGAGGCTGTGTAAGATAATTCCATCAAAACCCTTTAAGCAAATCAACTAGCATGATATTCACTGACCTTACAAAGCCTTTGATAAGTTGCATTATCTGAGTCTTATTATAAAAGCACTATGACTAGATAACTTAGGGTTGTTATTATATGCTTTATCTTGGAATATACTCATTGAATCGAGAACTAGACCTCAAGGTTTTGCGTCAGAAAGGGGAACGCGAGCCCAGGAAACCTATTATTTGCTATGATTCAACTCAGACATTTCAAATGACCAAATAAACAAGTGTCCATAAAGCCTACAGGATGCAGTAATTGCATCACTCCATAAAGTGGTGGTACATTGGGAAGTATCAATTTGCATTACAATGTTCTCCCTCAAATAAAGATAGGTTATAAGCAATATATATGGCAACATGACAGAAAACAACACTATCAGGACAGAATAGAGATGATCGGAGTGGTACAAACCACATTTCCTTTGTTGTAAACATGGACAAGTAAGAATAACTCTTTTGTTTAGATATTTGTAGAAGACTTTGATCTCTGAAGAACGATACAAATTGGTAGAAAACCTAAGGGCCCTACCAAGTCTATCTACCTATGCACACGAAACAATTCATGAAAACCAAAAGGGCTGGAAACTCAAGACTAGTCACATCCACTTTATGAAAACCTAAGTTAACAATCTGACAGATTTCAAAATTCTAACAAGATACTCTCATTCGCTTCATGAACCCACCCTTTTTTCTTGCTATGACCTCTCATGAAATTATCTTCAGTTCGAAGCGTTCCCGCGAACGTCGAATTTTACCCAATTGGTTTGAAACCCTATTCAGTAGCTAGTTATAAACATTGACAATCAACTTAAATGCAGTATATTGCTTCGTACAAAAACACATGTAACAGTTTAATGGTGTCACAGCGTATATACTTATTGCAAAATATTTTACATAAGGTTTAACCATTTGGTACAAATTATTAGTTGATAATAAACTTACAGGACTTTTTAATTACATCAGTTATTAAAATAACTTTGAAAAGAGATGCATGCTAAGAGCTAGTTGCAAATGCATTATGAATATTTTTAGAGAGATATATTGAACTGGTGTATATATTAAAAACACAATCCCCGACATTATCCTGTCACACTCCTGAAATTTTCTAATAAGTTACTCAGAAAGATTATTAACAGTGAATAGTATTATTTAAAATAAGTGAAAATTTCTGCTCATTTTATACACATCTAATTTAATACTATCATTTCCACAGTCAGCAAACATGTGCAATAAAGACAAAACACTATGGTACTAAAGATGATAAAACCCCCTGGCTAAAAAGTTTATCCTGGTGATTTAAATGTTAAAAAAGTTTTCTACTTACATATACATCCCACCATTCGTCTCGACGACTGGGAAGCGATTAGGTTTGGAGCAGCCTTTGAAGTGTTCGCTAACATTTTTATGCGTCTAACTTCGAACGGGTCCTTTCAACAAATAAAAGATTGCAGACGTTATCATAAGTTACCTGTTCCATCAAGATCTTTGCGACTAGTCCATAATTCCTAGTGTTGACAGCTTCAGTAAGTAGTGGAAAGTCAGAAACTGAAATAGAAGGTGAAAAATAGATTGAACTTACCAACACACTTTTCAGACGAATCACCCACACCTGACTTTTCAGTAAAAGATCGTGAATAACACCAGAAAATGTCCTTCCTCTTAGCGAGAAGTCTCACCAGGTTAGGTCTTGAAAAGGCCAACATGCTTCAGCCTCAAGCGACCAAAATAAAAAATTTGGTAAAGAAATTTCTAACGAAGTCAAAAGCTCTGACACATTAAAACTTATCTAAAGTAACCACAATGCAACTTCATATTATCGGCAAATAAGCTCACCTTATCACCCTTATTCCCGTGAAAGATCGGTTTCAGCTTGTGAATCTGGGAAAGAGAAACAAATCTAATTTGCTAATAAGCTGGACATCACAAATCTGCTCACTATTACTCGACGAATGCTGATATATAAACACAGAAAGTGAAGCATCCCTACATAATGAATGTCACATTTATCATCATACGATGAACGCCAAGAAAAACAACTATATTTGAATGACTAGCTAGAGTTACTTCGCTCGTAACTCCAAACTGTGGCAGCCTAAATAGTTATATTTATTCCTTTAGTATCACATACATTGCAGTCCAGCAAATCACTGCATTTTTAATATCTTAACCGAAAGAAAACTATTGCTAACCGGTAAATTTAATAATATCAAATCAAAACCTAAACGCCTGCACACCAATAACTGACCTTGAAGTAGAAACACTTTGTGTCTGGCCCGCGAAATGATTGCTGGTTCCAACATTGTAAAACCTACCGCAAATCTCTTAGCAGTGTCTTCAGCAGAAGAGAGAGCGAATAAAACATTTGCTCGGTATGAATTTCACATCTATGTTGCACAAGCGAGCAAGTAAACTATAGCGATTATTCAGAATGTAGATATTGTGAAACATTAGGCCACAGGAATTATATCTTTGGTAATAATCGAAGCCTGTTTTCATACGTGAATAACTACTACTCACTAATGTTATCTGTATGATTACGAAATCAGTAACCTGTGACTAGAATTATCAAGTACATTAAAGATCGTCATTTTCACCCGTGTAACTCTGCAATGATAGTGTCCGTATTGTTAACAGTTTGTTCATATTACGGTTTCATATTTCTCCCGCAGAAGATCTCATTAAATATTATTCATTATTACTGCATTTGAAATCCTAATGGTTTTCGTCACCATTAAAATTAATTATTTCTTTTCTCTCGAAAGTTTCGGGAGCAGGTTAGTTTATTCATCTCATTGTGACCGTACATATGGATCAGTTGAGAATCACCATCGGAGTCCTTCATCCCCTGTCCAATAAAACTAAATATGCCGGTACATGTGGCTTCGATTCCCTCTAAACCTTATATTATGGCCATGAGCCTTTGTTTGGTTCCCTGACATATTTTCTTTTAGCTTACCTCTCAAGGCCATGCATTTGGCCATTACAAAAGAGACATCTATGCCATCTTTTGACAATGGCCTGCAGCAGCCCACTGATAATCGCCAGAGCCTCTCTCCAGACTATGAATTATCGATAAACATCGACATGATGAGTGTTGAAAATGAGCCGATGTCAATGTTCAGGTCTTACTACACCTCACGATGTCCCTGGAAGACTTGCAGAAACTATGCGTAATAACTAACACGAAAAAATAGAACGCAAATTGGTGACTCAAGAACCGTTTATTCTTGCACCAATATAGAGCCAACCATTAGGTGATTGCACACAAAGTCTAAGAATAAATGTCATAGCAATAAATCACACTAATACTCCTGATAGTTTTCTCTCTACCAACTAACAGCGAACGATGAGACGGTAACTGCCGTATTGATGACTCCCGCAAATATATGGAGTTGGGTTTGAGCAAACATGAACTGATCGTTCAATCTTCAACTAAATTGACAGCCGAGATAAGGAAATTTACACAAATTAGTAATACTGAGGACCTTTTCCACTTTTCCAGTCAAACCTGGTTCTCACATATCCATCTATGCTACTCAGAGTGGAAATTCTTCTGCCGCAGCAAGTGAAACACATGACTTCCTTCTGATTTCGCTCATCGGCGGAAATTTGTGATTGTTAGTTAGTGGCACTCAAAGATCTTCATCTTTTTTTATCTGCTATGTGTTCACCTAAACCTTTCTTATCACCAGGTCACTAGTCATCATGCTTGAATCTTACGGCTATATGTAGGATGACTGCGAAGGTTCCATCCTTTGTGTCATTCTTGATTTGTTTATTCAGACTCACCAGTGAACTCATCTTCAGCCATAGAGAAAACGCGGTATATTAATTTATGTTCCACAAAGCATTCGAGTGCTGCTAAACGCAGTGTACTTTAGTTTCAGAATAGTCCTTTTTGCGTAGTGGAGACAAAGAACACTCCTCCATTTTCGAAAATACCACACTATTTTGCCGGATAATAGTGGCAGCGCAATCTGCTGATACTTTCGCTGGCCAAGGGCTGCCCACCGTCGGAAGTTATATTCCAACTATTTTGAAACACAAACCACCATTATAAAATGTGATGCTAATAAACAATATTAAACTATGTGAGAAACACGTAAGTACCTCAAACAGCTAGCGTCACTTAACCAGATATTCGCAAGACACAAAATACGTTCCCTGTAACTTGAGTCATCACCAAGAATTATGAGATTGGTTCCACGAAAAAGAATATATTTCCCTCAGGGAGTCGATAGGTATGTTGTCATTCTATGGTGTAACTTTGAATCAACCCAAACCAAATGTTTCATAGCAATGACAACACCATAGTTAAACGTACTGCACACCAAAACAGTGATGAGAAGAATTGAAAATATGAGTCAGCCGGAAACCAAAACAAATAATGATCATTTTACAAGAAGATATGGAGAATGCTAAAATGACTGTAGGCAGGTCTCGGACGTGAGATAACAGTTGTGAAGTGACTTTTGATATAAAAATACATGTTGATACATTCTAATAACTTTCGGAAAGGACTTTCAATTCATCACCGATTGTCCATAGGGCATGGTTGTTTGCAGTTTTTTCTCATTTGCTGCTTAGGAAATTATCACTAGCCCATTATTAGTCTTCATTTTCTGCCCACCTGATAAATTGACTGCTGTGGCGGAAACAGATAGGTAAACTTACGTAAGTTGCATTCCTTTGGCATGACGAAAAACGTTTTTCGTGCACCGTTTTAGGTGCTAACAGGAGTATGCGAAGCGTTGAGGGGGAATGTGGAAGTTGTCTCGATTATCAGTTAAAACGCCCAACTATATGATCACAGAGTTTCAAAAACGGAAGTAAATCATACGCTTATTTGAGGAAGCACTGAACTTAAGACAACTCTGCTGCCAAATCTGCCAGAACTGTATATTAGAAGCCATTCACTCTCATTGTGGCTGGATGCCAGTAGGGACGTAAAAATATTACTCTCTCTTGGTGACAATAGGCTGAAGTTTAAATGGTCCTTTCAGTCTAACTTAGCATGAGGACTATTATTTTCGGAACTCAGATAATATTGACAAAGTTAAAATTTGGGCTTCGAAGTGATGTGTCCCCAGACACAGCTAAAGAGTTTAAAGGTAAACTCGATTTTAACAGTCAATCTTGATCTATCCCTGACTAAACTTATCCATAATAAAGAAACCCAGTACCTTTCTTATTTGGTTGATCTAGCAATAACCTCTCCGTTACCTCAACCTGATTTAGGCCTGAACTAAGTCTCACCAGATATCACATTCAATACAGTATGTCTCTGTTAAACATGGTGTCTTTCACTCGGCTTTCACCAACTCGCTGACTGGTAGTTCCATGTTAACTGGTGTTTACGTGCCTCCATGCTGCCTGAGGTTTTTTCCCTGCCTGTCAGCTTCACAGAGCTTAACATGAATCAGAACATAGTCCCTTGTCATCGCATTCGTTTGAAAAAATTTCGATTAGCTGACATGACAATGACCAGAAGGATGGAGGCAATTGGCTGCAATAATGATTTGGGTTTTCTGCCTATGAAGATTTCATGGCGTGTCCATGGGTCGTCTATAAACTGTTGACTCAGTATTAGGGTCTTGAGAGATAACGTACAGGTGAAAAACAGCAGACCTTGCATGTTGGATCACTTCTGGAGTAAAAGCTGCTTTTAACTAATAATCTTATTTTCCGACAGCAATCATTACGGATAGATTATATCTGATACATTCATGGTTGAATAATTTTTTTTGCCACCAATCAAACAGATGTTGAGATCAGCCTGTTCGAAAGTGTCCATCTTTATCACTGATGTGCGATACTTGCATTGGCCGGATCGAAAATGATCTGTGGAATGGGATATAAGACTACCGATAATGCATAGAACATTTTAAAGGGAGACCATATCTTTACGATCTGTAATGAAAATAATGAGATCGATTGCTAACCTCCCTATCTTTAGTTTGAAGCTTATATCAATGTTTGCTGCGGCTTATTGAATTCGAAAACCTCTTTTCACTGACGCACTTACAAACGCGGGCATTTCGCATCCTGCGTTGCTCGCTCCTACAATTAAAGTGTGTATTTTCGGCTTTCTTGTTGATCTTGTGGTTCTGCATTCGGGAGAATCCTCGAATAAAAACTACCTTGTAACAGGAAGTGGAGGATGAGGGAATCTGAATTATATAAAATAGCTAGTACATTTCTGAAATTAATATATGTATATGCAATCAAATAATTATAGTAAAGCTTAATTTTAAAGAATGTTAGCACATATAACAGAAATTTATTGTGTGTTTATTTTCAAAATATTTGCTCTTCATGCAGAATTTACACACAAAGTAATGATCTGGAGTGCAACATATGTCGCAGTGCTGCTGCATTTCAGGCGGGAACCAATTTCATGTTTTTTCTTCAGTTCTTTTGAAAATCGCGTAGCGGATAGTGAAAACCTAATTCAATATGCGCGTGGTTTTCATGGTATAGCTGCACGAATAAAACTATGAGAATTGCAGAAGATTTTGAACATTTTAGCTTCTAACTACTAGACATTGGGTAGTTGTTTCGGGGTTCAATCTACTGTCGGCGGACTCGTGTACCTCGCTAGACTAGTTATAAAACTGGTAGTAGAAAAGTGTGTGAGAATTAGTACCGCTTCTCTCGGAACGTTATAGCTCTACCTTGAAGCCCTATGTTCCAACGGGAACGTAAAGGAATAAGAAAGAAAGTGATTGAAGCAGACTGCCGTCTTTTCTATAAGTCTCAGTGGAATAGGAATGAATAATTCCAAATTTTCGGTCGACACTGATCTGAAATTGATTAGTTGACCGAAGGAAAAGTTGGATATTTTTATTTCCTTTTCATATATACATATTGGTTTTGCAAGTGCCAACTTTACAGTTTGCTCCTAATTTCCATAGGGTCATACTTCTAAACGTTTGTCACAGTTCGTATGAGTTTTCCTATGCATTACTCAGAAAAATTACTCTGTGTACATTTCAAATTTTAATTGATATTCGAAGTTTAGCAGCTGGAGTCAAGGTACCGCAAAGTTCAATAATAAAGCATCTTATATATATATATATATATATATATATATATATATATATACATATATATATATATATAAGAGTCCAGTCATTATCTTATTCCACGAAAATTTTCTGCTCAAGCAGCATTGGTGTAGAAATTACTTAGGGTTAGTTAGGCCAAAATTACCATTATTGAGTGAAGTCATGTACTGGGTTCGAGCAACTTATGAGGGTTTAATTTGATTCAGTGGGATCTTCATGTCATCGAGAATCAATATCGAATTACTCTTAGTCAAGTGTATCAAATGATTAAAAGTGGTCCATATATACCCACTTCTTGAAATCCCAGTCATCACTACTTTACATTACCATTTGGATTATCGATTACCTTCCTCTTTTGTGGTTTCGTCCCTCTGTTCTCTTATTTCTTCCTTCTCACCGTGTGTCAATTAAAAAAATGCACATCTCTGTACCTAGTTCCATACTAGTTCGTGAATTATGTCTTTAAAAGTTATCAGTACTTTTTATTTGAAGACAGAAGTACTGTATGTACGATGAAACGTTAAATTTCTTCACCCATATTCAAAATTCTTCTACACCATATATTAAAAGTTTTACAAGTCTAAAAGTATTGACATCCAATATAAAAATGTAACTATCGAAGTGAATTTAAATTCTTCCAGTTTATCGAGTCGTTAGTTACTTATGATGTTATGTATTGCAGTTGAAAACTAAACTCGTTAGTGTACTCTCTTTTTTATATTACTGAAACTATATATTTCACATTCTACTGTTGTAGCTTTTGTTTCTGTGATAAAAAATGTGATATACTGTTCATTAGCATCAAGTTCTATCGGGTTTACGCAGAAATACTTATATCATAGAAAATATATCAAATATAGCTATTTTCTACTTGCATTAAATTTTTTAACCTAAAGTTCAGTCTTCATTCATATTCAAGTGACGTATATCATTTTCCGTTTGTTTCCAACAGACCTCATTTGTCGATGCTGGTTGTTATCGTCTATAGATCATGACACCAGACGATGTAACATATGCATTTATACTTGTCATCTCATTACTCATTGGACCATTTATTCAAAAATGCGGAAAAGCCCGACCGTGGTGTTCAGCAACTGTTGGATTTTTGATGGTTTTGTTTGCTTCAGGAAAAGCTATATGGCATTCACTACTTACGTCATCCGTCTTCACGCTGACTTGCCTCATTTTCCCTGCTAGGTATGGCTTTTCCCTCATTGTAATTTTCAAAATGGGTTAAGATTCTTACATTACATTACTGTTGTATGGTGCTTTGGTTATTTGGCATTCTTCCGAATGTGCCATCACTTTGGATTCAACCAACCTACTCCAATAACAAGTATGGTCCAACTCTTGTTAGTTTTACGTGTATGTATACCTTATTGCTTATCAAAAATTTATAAAAAAATTTGTAGCTGATCGGTGCATCATTTGAAATTAGTGATAGCTGGCGAATAGACAAACAACTACTGAGTTCTGGTATACAACCACAGGATAAAAGTAATCTTCAATTACTGAAAATGTACAAGTCTGTTAAACCATCTCCCTTGATGATCATGTCGTACGCTTACAGTTATATCGGTCTGTTTACAGGTAATTAACCTTTAATCATTTATTAATAATCACTACGCACTGCATTCACTTATCATAATTAATCCTTTTTTCAAATATAAAAATATTTGCAGATATGCTTTTACACTATCGTTTGCCTTAAGGTCCCTATTATAAACTCAGAACATTTGAAGATTTCTGTAATTGGGATTCGGCAGTGTCGATAATTAATGAAGAGCCACTTTCTCAACATCTGCAAGAAGCACCTCCATTCGGTGTGGCTTATCTAATATTGTCTCATTTTTTCACTGTTGATGTAAGTTTCTGATTCCGTTTACATATGATATTTATTTCCTTCACAAGTTAATTATGTTTTATGAGATGTTAATAGTGTAAATGCTTTGGAGTTTTTAGGCAGAATAGATTGGGAACAGTGTGTAAGAATGCCACAAGCACTTAGTGGTAGATACAGAAATATTAATGTGCATTAAAGTTAATAGATCAAGCATTTAGAAGTTAGGGTCCTAGATAAGTAGTGAAAGTTATATGTTGGGGATGTCTACCTTTGCTAACCGATATATATTTACTTCCAGTCGGTTGTTTCATTAAAGTTACTTTTACTTACTGGCGATATCATTCTGAGGTTCAGCAATTTGCATTCACTGTTCATGTTAACCTTAATTCATCTAGGTAAAAACTCCTTGATAGATTTAGAATATTTCCCTTGAATGAGTGCCAAGCCTTTCAATTTTCGCTAACACTGGGAACTTTCGGAGTAAGGTTAGAGGGGGGAAGTTATACGTCGTGACAACTGGTTATGAAATGAAAATCTATACTGTGTTATTATTTGTTAGCACATTGCGACTCTCTTAGCTAAGTTCGAATAATCATGTTGTTCAATGGATTAGTGTAACACCAGACACAGTTCATATATACAATCTTTTGCAGTCATGTAATGACTTTCGTTTTCTACATGTTACAAATTTCTGTCAGAGTACTGTTTCTTTGAATGTATCTTATGAGATTGTTTATGTCATCACTTATTGTATTTGGACTGGCAACCTGGTGTCTGTCCTTGTATATTTAGTATTGATTAAAAATAAATTCTCTTTATAATTATTTCTTACCTCCATTTAATTTTCCTAGTATCGAGTAAAACAAGCTAACGGTATTCAGACTATGGTGAGACGTCAGTCAATGAACGCACTGACCTATTGATTAGAGAGGAAATATGTTTCATAGATGGTGTCTTTGAGAAAGGCTCTCAGTAATATAGTTTCATATCATCAATAGAAACTGCGTAGAGACATTTCGTTGTTCATGCAAGCACTTATTCGAAAAATTTTAAACTACAGGTTTAAGACTTCGTCAACCTTACGCTTGTGTTTATAAAACTCTTAGTAGTCAACTTATTAAATTGTTAAATCTAAAAAATGGTTATAGATTTCATGTTTAGAGGCTATTGAGTCATTTCTCAACCCTCAACAAAAAAATAAGAATAGGTCATTTGTCTAGAACGTGTCATGTATTTGCTTCTTCTTATTGTTTTGTCTGTATTCGTAAGGGGAACTAACTACTTTGAAAGTTACATTTGCTTTTCAGCATTACATTAACTCACATTCAGTTAGTACTGCTTCTTCCACACACCGAATAGGTCGTTGTCAGGCATTTTGGTCTGAGTGTGTAGATTTCGGAGAACTGATTTGCATTTTGTATAATATGGAAGGTACTTAGAGATATCCAAACACAACTTGTTAGGTAGATTTACTTGTGAATTTTCAGCTGTATTATACCGGTCACTCTTAAAAGAACAATTTAATAAATTTTTTGCTATCACTTGTGATACGTATAGCAATTTTGTGTGTTCAGTTTATATATTGCTTAACAGCAATCTCACAGCCTCATTTGTTTACCTTCCTAATTTTCAGTATGTCCGCACTACTGAGTTCTATGCTCGGCACTTCTGTTACCGATTATTTTACATGGTGATAATATTCTTCACGTTTCGAATGCGTATATATTTCGCCTGGAAGATGGCTGAATGTGTGTGCATGTCAGCTGGATTAGGTTTATATCCCAAATTATCTGAGCCAAAAAAAGGTGAAGGACCAACGAATCTTTGTGCACTAAATTTGTAAGTTTCTCAAGTTCTGAGTTCTCCTCTTTCTAATTTTCATCAGTTACTTATTTATTTGGTGCATTTTTGACGTTTCTTTGCACATTTATTATGATTTAAAGATTAATTCTTCATAGTGCTGAAATACAAACGCCTTAGTTATGTCTACTTGTAGCTGTCATCCTAGTAAAATCCAAATTATCCAACCTTATAAGTGGGTTTTAAATTTGTCTCTTAACTTAGATACTGACAACCTGGTACGAAAATATTCTACGATCGAATTTCTGTAATTTTCTGCTGTTAATTTTCAACATCAGTAGAATATGACAGCAAACTAACACTTGTAAAATTACTCAGTCAACTATACTTCCAAGTAAAATTCCACTTTAATGTTTGGAGTATTCGTTTACGAATGTTTCGTGAACTTAAATTCATTTACCAAATACATTGTACAACATTAAATTTATAACCCGCTGAAATTTTTAATAGCCCTTTCTTGAAATGAATACAAACTGTGTTACCTGAGAATATCTCATATTCAGTGTCATTGAGTAGTAATTATGTAAAAACAAAAAAAGAAATTGTCACTTTATTTTGTGTACGCAGGTGCACATATCAAATTTGACTCGGAAATAATTCGATCCTTCAGGAGGCTATTCGTGACTTGACTAACGGCATTGAATAATACGGCTCCGGTTGGTAAAGTGGTGAATATACATTACAGATAAATGCCACTTAACAAGAGATTTCTAACATATAACTCCAGACTATCTCTGAAATTTTGTCAAGGTGGTAAAAGCATTTTTCTCATCGAATTAAGTCAGTAAACTGCACCTAGTTTTCGTATAGAAATATAAACTTTGGGATAAGAATTTCTGCAAATGTCATAATACTGTTGAAGGTGTCAGTTGAGTCAAAGTTGAGAAAGCAATCATTTAGGATAGCCGGTTTTCACATTTGCTGTATATGAGTTTCTTAACAACCTACAATTCCGTCTGCGCTCAAAAAATCACATCATTTTTCAAACAGTTATGTATTCAGTATAAAGTTCAGTTTGACGTGCGCGGTTATTTAATCAGTTTATAAACATTCATACTCACATAATTCTAGTTGATAAAACTTCTGATGTACGTGCATCCCGTTTTCCGATTTATTAGTTTGGCATTAGATGTGAGTTAATGACAGTTTTAACATGACAGTCGAAAACCGTCACAAGTGTGATTATCTGATAAAGTTTAGAAAAGAATATTCTTTGTCCACTTATCAGTCGTTTTAAAGTAAACTATCAGTAAACCTGATAACTATTTTGATGAATTCGTAAGGTAACTTGTTCTGGTTAGCTTTTTTAACTTTTCTGTACGAAAAATATACTTTGTTGTCGTCACTTAGAAATAATTATCCTTAATTTTCACTACTAAACAGCAAACCTAACCTTATAGTTATTAAGAGGATTTGTAGTTCATGTATATGCTTTTGGTGTTTTGTTCTCTAGACTGTCGTTTAGTTTACTTATGGTGCCTTCATTTCCCTTCTAGATTGCATCATTAGTGCTAACTTCATTATACTTCTCTTTCAAGCATAACACAACAGGTTTCACTGAAGTCAAGAAGTGCAAACACACATAAAATTCAGTAACAGTTAACTGGGTCAACCTTGCTGCTGTAATCAAATATTAAACTACTACTTATTTTGTTTGGTTTCATCGACCTTTAATTATGAAAAGTTTAGAGAAATTAAATTAATTAATAAACACAGGACTATATCAATTCATTCAGCTTATCTAAGTGACTTGTGGAATATAAAATTGATGAAAGTGACTAAGTCTGTTTGGGAATTATAAACAGTACTGATAACATTATAAGTTTCCAGACCGTAGGTGTTACGAACTTCCTGAAATAATTTGAGCATCGAGTCAGATTGACTCATTATAAATTATTTAAATTAATTCCAGTGTTTTTAAAAAAAAAAATCAAAACAAGATTTTTCTGAACGTTTCGCTGTGTAAGCCACAGCTTCTTCAACAGATTTTTTCGGATTTTATTAATCATTAAAATATATAGTCAAATTTTTTTTTACATAAATTGATAACTGTATAACATTATACTTCAACACAACTTATGCAAATAATATAAGCATTCTACTTATTTGTTTAGTTGTCCCTAATTTCCTATCACTTCATTTCTTGTCTTCTGAGTTTCCATATGCAAAGTTTTTGTTTCCCGCACGAAAGCTTGAATGTCAACTTTCATTGCTCTCCATAATGATATCGTACTACACCAAAATCTTAGCAGTATGGGATAAGTATAAAATGGTGTGTATGTGTTCGAATCATCGAAAGAAAAAGATATTTTTGACAGTCTCAAGTACTTATTTTCAACAAGAACCAACAAGATTAAAGGATAATAGGTCAAGTAATGCTGACATTGAAGTAGTCATGTTGTATTTAGGCTTATTGGCATACATCGTGTTGTATTTCCATGTACAATTCTTTTCATGTGTTTATTTTGTTCAAATTAGATATAAACAGCAACAAGAAGAAAATAATGTGAAATTGAACACAATGAATTCGTCGAATCACTGTCCCAATATTCATGGTGCCCATACTCTTAATCCCATGTATCATTCCAATTTGAAAAAGAAACCAAGTAGTGAAATAAAACCACAAACTACTATAATGTATAATTACAATACAATATCTAATATAAGTGTATGGGGTTGTGAATTCGCTCCCACAGTACGAGAATCAATGAAGTCATGGAACTGTTCTGTGCAGTACTGGTTGGCTTCTTATTTTTATAAACGCTGTAATGCTCCACGAAACATACGGTGAGTGTAAACTAATTTGGTGATCATTTCCATTTGTAGACAGTTTTCTAGTGGCAACGAGCACTACCAATAGTTCTCTGACACTAACAGTGTTTAATATGTGGTTTTAGTTTTACTTAAATTTGGGCTCAATTCCTTTCCGCATATTGAAGGTCCCTAATGCCATCAATATTTCCATATTAACTTGTTTATTAGATATATCACACAGTAAAACAGTATTATGCGCTGGGTATAATATTGTTTAACTGTGTGATATATCTAATAAACAAATTAGTGTGGAAATACATACTACCACAGCCACCAATGTTTCTCCTTGTATGTAAAAGTTGACACACCTTTATAGTAATGATGTGATTCATTTGTTTAGGCGCTCGACTTTCTATAAATAAATCCGAAGTTCGAATTGCACTTGATCTACTTTGATCTGAGCAATCATATAGGACTTTACAGATCAAGTATTCTCCATAGTTCATTGCTTAAAAGTAGATAGTTACTGGCTAGCATACTTGTTTGTTTAATTCACCCAAGAAAAATTTAGCGGTTAGTTGTTATGTAGTAATTTGTATAAAATGGCCTTCTTTTCGACTCCACAAGGCTTGTCAATATTTGTTTACCTCTTGTGAAGACTAGGGAAAGTGAAACATTTCACTCTTCATTCAATCTATGAACAAATTCTTCATTTTAAGATATTTTTTGTTCTTATATTTTATAAAACTTGCTTGCATCCAGTGGTGTCATCTTATGAGTAATTCTGAGGTCCAATAAAGTGTTTTCGGATGCGGTAAAAGCTGTCAGTGTGGTCACGTTGTTGCACTGAATTCATTGACTTGAACATGTGTGATGGATTCCATTCAAGTGAATTCCGTACTGTACACTGTTTTGATGGCTGTGGGATCAATTGGACAAAGCGGAGAAGTCAGTCTATGATGCGGCACCGTAAAACGAAGAACAGTTGTGTTGGTTAGGCATCTATTAGTGCATCTTGACCCCTTGAGTGGTATCTGACAGATGATGTCTCTCGGAATATTGTCTTTTATTCGTTTCTGTTTCTGAAAATAGTATGAAGTAATAAACATTCCTTTGAGTTTTAGGAATAGGTATTTATCATTTTATGTGTTACATCTCTTAATGTCTTTACGGTAATAATTTTGCTTTTTATGAATAGAAATTGAAGTTAACCGTGATTTACAAGATCCGTTTACTACCTGATTGCTGAACAGTTTTTCAATGAGTTGGCACTCTGATAAATCTCTGTTTTGAAGTAAATTACTGATATCAATAAGTTACGACTTCACCAGTGATGGTATAAAACTGTCATATCAGATGTGTGGTTTCACTGTCAACATGCACCTTAAGAGGAGAAACTTTCAGATTAGTAATACAACAGCACCATGAGGATTTATACATTAAATGTGCCTGTGGATAGCCAGATGCTCACTCATTGCAAGTATTTAGTAACACATCGTCGCTTGCCACTACTCTCAAACTTGTTAGTCATCTAAATTATTTCATACTGTAGAGATAAAAGCTGCACATTATAATACTCTTATGTATCCCTGTCATGCTTTTATATTCATGGGTTTATATGGAAGTGTGTGGAGCTACTTATATCCACATGTCGGGGGAGGTAGGGTCAGGTTTTAACTATTATTCGAAAATTGAGTATTGAAATTATAACTTCAGCTCTACTTAATTTTTTTACTTTGAGTAATTTTTTATCTAAGCAAATATTTACTTGTCTGTTTATAAGCACATAACATTTTCGATTTCAATTTTATTTAGACTTATGCACCAATCTTTTTATTCTGTCTTCATAGGACTCTGTGGACAATGCTGGTTAGCGCCTATTGGCATGGTGTACACGCTGGTTATTATTTATCATTTTTAACTATCCCATTGGCATTAACTGCTGAGTCAAGTTTAAAAAGCATAGTAGGCTTGTGTGAAAATAATCTGCCTACTGGTAGTGTATCATTTTTATCATGGTTATTAAAAATGCGCGTATTTGAATACTGTTCAATGGGATTTTTAATATTAGACTGGCAAACAACAATAGCCTATTGGTCAAGCATCTATTATTGTATTCATATTATTCTAATTACACTTATTCTTTTTGAATTATTTCTTCGTCTTGTATTACCATCTAGAGCATTCAATTTAGCATCATCATCGTCGTCTTCATTGAAATTCTCTTCTGCATCAGATTTCACTGTTAACAACTCATCTAGTCATCAAACTGCTAATCTTCAATCTAGTCAACACTTTGTTAACAAATTCAAGAAATAAAGTTACCCTGTTAACTGCAATTGTCATTGTATAACTAGTGTTATTTAGATGAACTGTTTCATCTGTTAAAAACTTTACTTCACAATCAAAGTTTACGTTTACTTTCATTGTTATTTGTAGTATTATAACCTTAAATACTTTCTCCACCTTCAAAATACTATATTCTATCGTTCAGTTTTGTTCTTTTCTCTGTGTTTACGTCGTATCTTCATTCTAACCTTATTATCCATTGCTTGCTATTACCTTATGTTTGTTGAAGTCGGCTGATTTTACTATCTAGTCCAATTGCATCTATATGTTGTCCTTCTTTTCACTTGATACAACTCAATGCGTGTATTAGCCTTGAGAAAGAAATTTTTGTACAATCATTATCCAGTCTAGTCTCTTCTCTGTCCCACCCATGAACGTATATCCAATTAACTAATCTTCAGTAAAATGTTGATCAGAATTCGTGATACAAATTATATCTTTGTTCTCTATACAATGTTTCCTTTGTTATTGTTGTTTATAGAGGTGCAATTTGTTTTGTGTTTATTTTAAGTTACTACTTTTCGTCATCAGTAGCTTATACTGAAATGTCAGCGTAGTTAGAGAACAGAAGTGAATTCAAGAAATGCTTTTTTGTGTTATTTATTTATTGAGCCGTTTAATGAGTGACAGTCTATTTTTTTTTAGATTCTTTTGGTCAGTTAATCTGTGCAACAATCAACCTCGATTCACTTCATCTGACTTTATTGTTATTATTATTGCTTTCCTTCCTAAATTTCCAGTTTACTTTTTACTTCGGTTTTGACATCTACAATTATTTCAGACTACTACACACCAGACACAATGAATGGTGAAAAATATACGCATACATATTATTACGTGATAGTTTACTTATAGAACGATAACCATTTTCCTTTTTTTTCACCGAAATTTATGCATTACTGTATATTTCTAAAACTAATTGCGTGTTTGAACAGATTGTCTTAATCAAATACATGACACATTCAAATTATAAATTAGTGTTGTTTTTAGCCATCTTTAACGGATGAACTAGACAAGGGAATCACAAAAAGCAGGATTGTTACTTGTACTGGTTGAAAAATCAGCGTTAAACCTTGCATAGAAGTAAATGAATTTATATTGCCACACAGTAGAGAAAGATTATATTTAAAGTAGGAAGCATAAATGTGCTAATCATGATAAGAAGGGAAGAACTTTGATCGACGGTGAAGAAATTTGCGAAACACTGGTTCTTGGTACCTTAAGAATTCCTATCAGACAAACTTTATCTAGATTTACCTCGAAACAATTCAATGATTTAACAGGTTGATGACGTGTTTGGTTAGTTTGGTTATTTTTTCAAGTTTATCCAGTTTAGTCGTACATCAACTTAACACTTATCGCAGTACCACTCACTACGCTTTTGTGTCTAGTGTGAAAACTGGATGAATGCACCTATAATGAAAAAACTGTAGTCTTTTCTCACTCTTCAGTGGTAATATCTGACAAATGTAAGGTAGAATAAAGCATACTGCTGCATACACAATCATCAGTAGAAACCGGGTATTATGGCCGGAAATGTGATGCGCTTTGGTAACTGTCGAATGAACATCCTGTATTCCTACTGGGATTTCGGCAGAATTCAAGCCATTGACGTTGATACCGCCCCAAAGATTGGTTGAACACATTTAGTCATTTCACTTCCTATCATATAGCACTATATTGCATTTGACAGGGGCAAAAAACCTAGATTTTTGTCATTGTGCTTGGAAAACTTTAATTTCTCAGCATTGTCTTACTAGAGAACTATGTCATTTATGTACACTCAATCAACCAAATATTTCTGAAAAGACGACTCCATGAATAAACTGATAAATAAATTAAATGACAGTGGTGACACGAGAGATTCCTGGCGAATATTACTGGTCTCCTGCGTATTATTGATACTTGAAATTTTTGTGCTGTGAGTAAAATCGAATAATCGGTTATATCTAATACTTTGTGAAAATCAGCAAATTAAATTAGTATTTAGTTTTATGAACAGTCGGTATATGTAGTCATTGTTTCAATATTTCTTTACTTTGGCAAACAATGAACACATCACTATCTGATGGTTAATACAAGATAAAAAGACAAATGCAGTGATGGAAGCTTTTTTTTCTTTCTGACGAATTCACCAACTACGGTGTGTATCTGTGAATATATTGCAAAATAAGTGGTTATCAAGGAGGGGGTAATTGAGGCATATTTTTAATTCAGTGAAAACAGCTTGTGTACTAGGAACACTAAGCCGTATTTGAGAAATCCTTCAAAATTGTGTATAACATCCAATGCAACCTTTCAAACGGTGCGAGATCAAGACACTTGATCATAACTGAAGCGTTTTTTTTCACTCTTTTGAGATTCCAATTGGACACAAAGCTTCAACGTAGAGGTCTGACGCTGTAGTAACGTTAGTGTTTTTTTACTGGGTGAGGTGCCAGTCTCAAGCTCAATCTTTTCTGTTTATTGAACTTACTACTGTAACAACAGAAGGCAAGGGCCAGCAACAGATCGTTTTATTACGGAAATCAACACGTATTTATATAAATTTCACATACATTATTATAACTTATTCAAGTAAACAAACGCAGGCGTCTAATTGGTTGTTTCGAGTAACCATCGAAAAGTGGAGCCATCTGTCTGCGAATCATATTTGCCCACGTTAAGTTTGCTGTGATTGATTGAATCAGCCTTGCTCATATTTTCTCACGGCCAATATTAGTGACCTAGACATTGACGTAGATTAATGTCTACCAATTGGCTAGCAGCCTACTCTCACCACACTACCATCTAAGCAAGGTTTATGAATGAATTGGCTAGGAACTGTACTCTCACCATGTACGTGGTTGGTGAATATTTTGCTGCTGAAGTATTTGCGACCTGAAAATAAGATCCATAGTTATAAATACATACATAAAGTAGAGTACAACCACTGTTTTATGATGACCAACATTATATGATTACTTTTCAAATAAAATCACTATTCAAGTGTTAGTTTGTAGGGATTTGATTGGTTTCAGGATTTCATCATGAGCTGACATTGGTTAGAGAACCATTGGAAAACCTGGGAGTACTGGACAGCTGTTTCGTCCTAGTTTGGGACGATGGTGGGTGCGTACTGATGAAGAGTCCCAAACTAAGACTAAACAGTTGTCCAGTACTCCCAGGTTTTCCAATGGTTCTCTAACTAATGTCAGCTCATGATGAAATCCTGAAAATCATTATTATTTGGTTATGTTTATTACCTCAACTTTCTATTTGTTTTCTTATTTTAATGTGTGCACTCATTATATTTTAATTCCTGACGTGAAATAATCAGGAGACTTTCCTAATCCTTTGTTACATGTTCACGAATGTTTAACCTAGGTATTAAATTCGTTATATAGCAGAAATTTTTCCCCTAATCAACTATCGTTTGGTTTTCCCATGATAGGATGGGTATAATAAAAAATGCCCTAAATTTGAAAATAATTATCCTACGTACTACGAATGTGATCAATAAGTATGTGTTAGAATGGAAAGGTCACTACATATTGCTTGTAATCGATAGGAAAGGTGGATAAAATTCATTGCTTAATAAATACATCAACTGTCATCCTTTATATTTTTGAATAATCACGAACAAGTTTATGGTGTATGTTGTTCTTACGCAAACAATATCACTTATAACTTCATGTGATCAGTTTCTACGATCTTACAAATTGGATGGTGTATCGAAATTTACACGTGATTATCATGATTTTCCGTTATCATATGTGTTGATTCAACAACCTAAGGTATTAGCTGTATATTTCAACAAACTACACTTGTCGTACGCAGTACTTTCTAAAACATGTTTGGATGTAGGGTTCTAAGTAAGTCTCCATCTATTCGGACAGCTATGACACATGTCAAATTAGCGAAGCAAGTCCAAGTAAGGGTAGGTAAGTAGAAACCAAAACTTTACTAAGTCATCACTAGTCAATGATGATGTTAGCCTCTAATTTAACGTCCATGCAGCAACGAAAAATTGATCGTGGGAGAAACCTCACTGCTCTTAATCGATCTAGTTGGCGCAAGTATATTCATGGGTTAATCTTATTTTAAATTTTAACATTACATTTCTCTTCCCAAGTTTTCTTAGTCCATTTAAAGAGTTTATTATGTTTACTTCCCTCTTATTATCTCCTAACTGATGTACAGATACAAGGCGTTGACAGAGGTTTTTACTTAACAATGACTGGTACTATGTCATTATTGTGAGTCTGACTGCCCTATCCAATGATTCAAGTTTTTATCGATAGACTTTACGTTTCTGTAAACTAACTACTTCTTCATATTCTTTGAAACAAAAAACTGAGTGATATTTTCAACAAGCTTACATAGTAAATCAATACTACGTAACCAACATACAGCTGAAACGATTATCTGAATATAAAGTTATTTGTCATTTTTTTGGAAATACTCAACAGATGGAGAATTTATATGTACAAAAAAATCAAAAGTATTTTGACTACACAAACAATTTCAGAATAGAAAATCGTTCACAATGAAAATCAGATAACTGCAGTTCAAGGTTACTCTAACATGCTGACTTTTCAAATGAAGAAATTCGAAAAACAGAGGGCGAAATCGATACTATGATATTTAGTAATTTCATTATCAGCTCAGATGTATCTTCAAGAGGCAGGAAATACCTTTGTTGTTTTACCACAGTGATGGTTGAGCTGAATCTAAGATTGTTAGAGTTTGAAAATTGTGTCCAGGAATACTGGTTATCATTTAAGTAAGGCTAAACAGCCATTCGCATCGGTGGCACAGCGGTTAGGACGTCCGCCGACCATGCACATGGTCCGGGGTTCGATCCCCGGTCGACGAACTCCTTTACCTCGTTAAGCCAGAAATAATGCTGGTAAAGAGGAAAGGTTGGGCATGAGGCTATCAACCCCATCCTGTAAAAGTAAACAATGTTACAGAAACTTCAAGCCACTAGCTTGAGGCCCTATGTTCCACTGGGAACGTGAAGGAAAAAACAAACAAAAAGAAGAGCCATTCAGTGCCCTTTGCCTTCGTTTATTACTGATATTTCTCCGCCATGGGAAATACTTTGAAAAAGTCAACTCTCCGAAAAGTCCCCAAATACTGTCGTTTTAGCAGTTGAAACATTTCAGGCAGGAAACTAGTAATTCATCGTTTCACCCCTCACGTACTTAGATGGATAAGGGTTCAGACTTAACGGTAAGGTGTGATTGATTATTTATTTGGTAAGTATGCAATCCTCTTGCCTCTAATGCCAACACTAAACGGATATCTCATAGATATAATCAGTGTAGTTAATAAAACAGAGTATGATGTCAGTCACATGCATTTGATTAGGCCTTTACAAGCCAGTGGGATAAACGAAGCCTCAGTTGAATTTTCATCTGATAATCGACCTCTTAATTAAGAATATAAGTATAAAACGTGCCACTGTATTAGGGTATAACTCCATTATGGATAAGATTTTATTTTGATAAATCACACAGTGTTGTACAGTAATCAGTTAATATTACTGTGTAACACTGTGTGATTTATCAAAATAAAATCTTATCCATAATGGAGTTAATTAAGAATTATGGAGTCTTGGGATCACTTAAATCCCTGTTTACATAAGTGATAGGTCGGGCCAAAATATATCTCATTATCTTCAGGTAAATAAATGTTGTAGGAACAATATTCAAAGGTCACATGATTCTTGTTATTGATTCAACTTTATAATCCATCAATAATAATAAATATTGTAAGTGCGCCTGTAGTATTGTGTAATGTTTACTAGTTATTGCTGCTCTTAACAGTGGTAGTAGTAGAATGTCTCGTGGTTTCATTTGGGGAGTTCTGTGCCTGTGGTTATTTTCATGTACGTTATTTTATGGAATAATAGGAATAATTCTTCATATTCATAAAAGAAAGCTGGATTTGTTGATTGGTTTAAATGATAGCCGACTTATACGTTCGTTATTTTTTGTATTTGCCTGTCTAACGTTAGTCAGTTTCGGTGTAGCGATAAGAACATTGAAAACTGGGAAACGCTTACTGGCTGTAATCTTTTTATTTTTTTCACTGATTAGTTTTACCGGTGAAATGTTCGTTCTGATTACATTATGCTCATACAGAGAAATATTTTTTGGTTATCAAATGATTCATGACTCAGTAAAAAGGTTAGTAGAAGCTTATAGCTCATCGAAGACAGGACGTTATGTTCTTGATAGCATACATATATTTTTTGTTTGCTGTGGTTATGATGAATGGCATCGTGAATGGAAAATGAAGTCAACGCAATTGCAAAAAATCGTACCGATGAATCGTTGGGTACCATATTCATGCTGTGCAAGCAATTATAAAGACGATGAATTTTGTGGATATGCAGCTTATCGCAGTCCTATCACGGCTGAAGAGTTTAATAGACTGAAAGAATATGGTCGACCGACTTATGTTCCAGATAAATGGTACACACGATTGAATAATGATCCTTGTCCAGAATTAATTTTCGATTGGTTAGGTGAATTGCCTGTTTATCTATTAATGTTTGGATTAATGATTACAGTAGGGCGAATACTTTATACAGCATATGCCGTATTTGTGTATACCAAAAAAAAGAAATGAAGGATGTGCATCAAAAAAGTATTTGCATGTATGCGGAAGTATGCAAACAGATTTACGTACAAAAAGGATGCCAACAGTTTTCCTACTGAGAAAAACATTAAACAGTCAACACTTTTTATTCTGTTATATATATATATATATATATATATATACGATGTTAAACGGAACTTTATCAGATCAGATGATCATACACGTGTTAAATTATGAGAGAGTTTAATTATGATTTATTGCTTAAATATTAAGTGGTTGAAAACAGCCAGTAGGAAACACTAATCAGAAAAATGTGTCTGTAACGTCAAGCAAATTGATGCTGTGCTGCATACTGAGTGATACATTATAAAGTTCACAGAAGCTACTTATTTAGATCGAAAAAGAAGTAAGCGGCAGGAAAAATAAATAAGCAAAACGCGAGTGAAGTGAAATCCACTATCAGTAATAATTAACTGTGTTTTCACGATTTTCAAAGTCAGTCATGTACATAAACTAGGCACTATAGTAAAACTACCTCTTCTTGGTTCAAGATATTTTCGTCTTCACCTAAAATGCCAAAAGTGATCAAGCACCTATTACTACACGTTCATTCATTTGGAATCCACTGATTTGTATTTCCTAACTTCTTGTTGGACTGTGAGGTACCACAGGTGCCATTCAATGCTTTACAAGGAGGAATCCTGTTCTTACGGTGAAACTGTTCATTATCAGGATCACAACATTTAGTCAAAATCTCATAAGTTATGATATAATTTGGCTGAGGTTACAAAACATTTTTGAGCTACTGTTATCACCCTACTTGATCAGACTTGGCTATTAGTTTTCTAGTCTGTAAAAGGCATTGAGTGCATGGTGGTTTTAGTAAAATAATTTAATAAACTAGTTGATTTGAAAATTTTCAAAGAATAAAGAATCTGAAATAATCAACTCCAATGCTTTACATGAAGTAATTGGTCAATGTTAAAACATTCACATCTTAACATGTTTTACACATTAAGAACTAAATGATTCAGGTAGTCCATTTCTCCTTTATTACTTTTGAAACCAAATTTTTTTGGATATAACAACATTAATGTTGGGCTAGTTCATAAACTATATTAGATATAATTTATAAAGTCAAGTAAATGTCAGTCTCTTTCTAGGAAGTCTTAAGATTACCTCTAAATGAAGGTAATAGGATCAAACGAGTGAATTTAGAGATAAGTTGGTAAACTGCATATGAAAATATATGCAGGTAACCTTTCACTGTCAGGAATCCTTAATTTCAATTTTAGAAACGTTTGTCAAACTTAGTACCATCTTTAATCATTCATCGGTGAGGTTCATGAATTCCTTCATATACCTGAGTGATATAGTGAATTCTTTACTTTCTAGTTTATAGATTTTGCTGACAGAGATTTCTATACCAGTCCAAGTGTGACTTCTGGGGTATATTTTCGTGGGTACATGAAGTTTTTTCTGAACAAAATGAAACGTTGTCATCCGACTGGATATGCCTCTTCCCTAATCTAGCTTTTATGTCGGATTTCTCTGGTTTATAACCAGTTTGTTAACTTCCTCTTGTCCGCTTTTAGTCTGCAATGCTTGAGTAAATACGTATCAGACTGACAAAAATTACAGAGTATGGTCACTCTGAATCCAACTAAGTAAGAGAATGGGCAAATATTTACCAGCGGAACTAGATGTCATAAACTAATTAATGAAATACACTTCACTCATCATATAACTGAACGTATAACTACCTGCACGATTCGTTTAGTTTAACGATCGCACTAACACTAGTAGGTGTAAGAAATAACTAACAGCCGTTACAGTACAGTGATTCGTTCTTAGTATTTTTCGTTATTTGCGTCTCGATTGGAAACACATGACTTCACAAGCACATCTTTATTCCACTCGGTTCTCTGCTATCAGTTTCACATGGCTCCATGACTACACACAAGCTTCTATTTTCTCTTCACATGATCTCTGTATCATCATCAAACGTCCAACAGTTTGGTCTCCACTAGGGCTCCAGTTAAGGTGTGTGATGTCACCTGAATGTCTCCTCAGCGTATATCCAATCCCATTCCATCCTTCTGCGGATTTATTGGGAAATGGGTTCTTGGCTAACTCGTTACCACGGTTCCATGTTGCTTATCCTTTCTGACTAGCCATCTCAATTTAAGTATAGAACGGAGACAACTTTTTCAGTTGCAGTGTGGTTGTTTTCAACTGAGTGGGGTCGCTAGCTCTACACACAACCTTCCTTCTTCCAGGCTAGTAAAAATAAGACAGGTTTGTACAACGATTTACGAAATAAAAAAAAACTTCACATGTATTATGAGGATGCATAATGTTCCGAAAGCTAAACAAAACAACTTAAGCGTCTGCAAGCATAGTGCTCTAACCTATTCAGTGACTCTTGACTTCTGAAAATAAAACATATATCAACAAATAAGGTACAAAGAAGGAGCTTAAAAATACAGATTTGTGGAGAACCTATAGAAATGATGTCTCTTTGAAACGAACATATTACTTCAGATAAACATACTTTCATAACTTCCAAAACTCCAAATGATTCTGCAAATGTCTAACACTAGCTTCCTGTATAAAGGATAAGTCTGAGATGATAAAGTGATGGTGAATCATATGCCGGAAGATACACAATCAGATGCTAAAAATAAAATCAAGTAAGAGCCACTAACTTCTTTTCTAAAAAGGAGGAGAATGTTGCATCAATTACTCCAATAACTGAATTTTGTGTATATCGTTTTTGATAAACAGTGACTTAATATGACTGATTCAATTTCAGAAGTATATTTTTATGGAAAATATAGTGAATTTTCAAGAATTAAACACTGATATTCCAATTTGCATGCGAAAAAAATCAGTGTGCTCACTGCAGAACATGACTATTGTACACCGGAAAAATCAGGAACACAGTTGTACAAAAATTCAGACTATACGAATTTAATACTCATTTATAACAGCGAAAGTCCAACAAACATTGATCTAAAGAGCCAGGATATACTGCAATACTTTTATCCTAAGAAGAACAGAAAATAAGTAAATAATGATCGTCTTCTGGGAAAATCGATATCCGAGAAATGCCTACACTTAATCCAACCAACCAACAGAAAATCATCCTCTGAAATTACATGGAAAATCTTACTACAATATATGACCATTTCAGAAATCAATGAAACAATTTTCAATAGCTGTGAACCAGTAGGTGACGTATTCAGCTGACTGCGTATTGCATGTATTGAACTTAATAGCAGCAGAACACAAAACTAGCATTACCTACATGATAGATTGGATCCATTGAGAAAAACGCCATACTGGCCAAGACGCACGTTGCCTTCATTTTTGAATCTATGATCCCTGACTAGCAATCAAAAGCATGACACATTTATTCATAAAAGTGAACATGAAAAACTACAGACAGCAATTACACGAAGAAAATGTAATAATTTTAAACAGAACGAAAAATAAAGAATGCCAGATTTATTTATGGAAATATCACAATGCGACTTCAGTGTCAATATCAGAAAATGTTTAGAAGTTCATAGCAAACAGGTGCCAGTCAATATTTGCATCCTTTTACAGTGAATAAAATTAACCAGTTATTATTGTAAGATCATTTTATACAATCAATAAGAAGCCATGGACATAGGCTCCATCAATAAGACGTATTTGAAAACCTGAAGGTCGTTAACCACTCTCTGAACCGACCAAAAGAGTTCAGTCAGCACCACTGATAACTAGACACATAACACCGATAATCCACCCTAGTAACCACTCAATATAACGAATTATTTCATAAAACCTAGAGTACGTTTTATTGCTTTAAAAAATACAGTGACAAATATGGTTTTCGAATATAGGTTCCTACGCTCGGTCTCTTATAAAAACTGGTGTTAGGCGTGAAATGTCCTGTAGGGAAGGAAAGTCAGTAGACGTTGTGTAGCTGCATTGATTGAGATAACTAGAACGTGTGACATATGCTGACACATTTCCTTGGTAAACAATGTTAGCTGAAATAGGACTAAGCTGGAAAGGAATTAACGGTTGAATCAAAATGTGACATCAGTTGATGAAGTTCAGACGTTTGTTTCATTTAAGTTGGGAGGTGTAGACTGCCTGATAAGTGTACTGCGTATGTGAAGAATCGACGGTTGGGCAGAGTCGGTTATATGGCTCATAGTAATCCACGATAGTGCAAATTTATTCAGTTTTCGGGATCTGGCAGTTACTGAAAATACTCACTAATCTTCTTTCAGTTATTTCCCATCCCGTACGTTCTCATTCCTCGTAGTTTTATTACATTTCTTTCTTTTAACTTAATGTGCGTATCTAAAAAGTGTGACAACTTGAAATGATGTATTTTTGCACAAATCCCTAGATTAATAATTCATTTCAAAATAACCCAAGAAAATGTTACTCGCCATTAGTTGGCGAAATGTTTACACTGTCGAACTCTCCCATTTCTTAAATTATTCAAAATAGTTTCATAACTGTAAGAATGCAGTATTTAATTTCTAGCCCTTATGTTGCAATTCTTAAGATAGAGTTATCAACTGTTGTCTGTTAATCTCGGAAACCTAATATACACACATTAAAAACTATATACCTCGTATCGTAAAAATTTAACGTTTTTGGGGATAAATGGTGGTGATGTAGCCATAGTTCAGAAAGAATTTCCTCTATTCGGTCCGATAGATGATATTTTTCAGTAGAAGTTAAAGTGTTTATTAAGCTATAATTATGCACAAAATATTTCTAAGATTTGTAATTTATTTAAAAAAAAGAAAAGAAAAAACGATAGAACATATCTTTAAAAGCTACTGACTTATAGGTTGTAAATGGGGAATTTCTAAAGAATATGATATTTAGCTAAATCCTCTGAAAAACCGATTAAATTTTGTAGTCGAAAAAAATGATAATGTCTAATGTATCTAACCTTGAGAAAATAGGTTTTACTTACTTGTAGGATTCAATGGTAAATAAGCCATAACAGTTGTTCA